ATTCTTATGTGCATCAAAAGACTTCTCCAAAAGAGTAAAAAGAGAACCTTCAAAACAGGAAAAAAGTATTTGGCAATGATGTATCTGGCAAAAGGCTTATCTATAAAACTTACAAAAAACTCCAACACCTCAACATCAAAAATACAAACAATCCAATTAAAAAATGGGCAGAAGACATGAACAGTCACTTCACCAAAGAAGGTATCTAGGTAGCCAACAAACACATGAAGAAATGCTCATGATTATTAGCCACTGTTGTTGTTATGTGCTGTCAAATCAGACCTGACTCACAGCGACCCCTCCTTGAATTTCCAAGGCAGTATCACTACGGAAGTAGATGGCCCCATCTTCCTTCCAAGGAGTGGCTGGTTGGTTTTAATCACCAGCTTCCTGGTTAGCAGTCAAGTGCTTTAGGCACTATGCTACCAGAGCTAATTAGCCATTGTTGTTGTTGTTGTTATGTGCCGTCAAGTCGGCCCTAACTCATAGCGACCCCTTCTTGGGTTTCCGAGGCAGTATCACTACGGAAGTAGGATTGTCCAACCTTCCTTCCGAGGAGCGGCTGGTGGGTTTGAACCACCAGCTGTCTGGTTAGCAGGCAAGTGTCTTAGCCACTATGCTAGATGCAAATCAAAACAACCATGAGATGCCATCTCACTCCAGCATTAATACGCAATGCAACACACTGCTGTCGAGTCGGATCCAACTCATAGCGACCCCTCCTTGGGTTTCCAAGGCAGTATCACTATGGAAGTAGATTGCCCAACCTTCTTTGCGAGGAGTGGCTGGTGGGTGTGAACTGCCAGCCTTCTGGTTAGCAGTCAACTGCCGTAGGCACTACACCACCAGAAGACAGAAAATAACAAAAGCTGATGAGGATATGGAAAGATTGGGACTCTGTATACTACTGGTGGGACTGTGAAAATCAGTACCACAATTCCTTAAACAGTTGGAAATAAAAATACCATTTGATCCAGCAATTCCATTACTAGGTATATATTCTAAAGAAGTGAGAGGCAGGAAACGAACAGATACATGCACATTCATGTTCACTGTATTATTATTCACAATAGCAAAGAGATGGAAACAACCTAAGTGGCCATCACCCAAAGAATGGATTAAACAAACTGTGGTACACACAATGGAATACTATGCAACCCTAAAGAATAATGTACAATCTGCAAAACACTGTATAATGTGAATGAACTTGGAGGACATTATGCTGAGTGAAATACTTCAATCACAGAAGGACAAATTTTTTATTAGTCCACTATAAAGTTAAGGAAAGGTCTATACATGGAAGGAAACTTTATTGGTTACCAGGGATGGCAGGGGAGAGGCAAAAAAAGGTTGCAAAACAAAGTACACACACACATACACAGAAATATAGGAACCAGAGATTACTAGTGGTTACCAGGGGTAGGAGCAAAGGGCAAAGGGGAAGCTTTTGTTTGTGGAGATTGAGTTTATGCTAATGATGGTGAAGTATTTTGTAAAAGGATAGCAACAATGGTGGCACTACATGAAAAATGTCTTCAATGTCCCTGAGCTGTATATGTGGAAGTCGCTATACTGGCGAATGTCTTGTGTATGTTTTCACCACAATAAAAGTAAACAAACACACAAAAAATATTTAGGTCAAAACCACCATATAGGTCCCTTTATGTTCCTCATTTATTTTGTAGCTGTCTTAGGTAAAACATTGTTTTAAGCTATCAAACATTTTTAAAGAATACAAGACACCAAGTTTGGGGGAAAAAAAGTAATGTGTGTTAAGAAAAAGCAGGAGGTTAATAAGGGAAACAGGTATAAAAAGCTTTTGGAGTTTAAAGGGAGGAAAAAATCAGTTGCTGTCGAGTTGATTCCATCTCATGGTGACCCCGTACATCAAAAGAACTGTGCTCCACAGAGATTTTAATGGCTCTTTTTTCACAAGTAGATCACCAGACCTTTCTTCAAAGTTGCCTCTGGGTGGTTTGGACCAACATCTTGGTTAGTTGCTGAGCACTTAAACCCTTTTCACCACCCAGGACTAATTTAAGGGAAAAAGGGATTGTTTCCAGGACCTGAATGGAAGGCTCACAGGGTCCTGTCCCATTCAATAAAGGGCAGCCCTTAGGCCTCAAATGGGTGGGGTGACGCCAGAAGGGCATTCATCAGGGAGGGTTGTGGCCTGAGGCACACAGGTAGGGAAGGAAGTAGTGTGTCTTGGTGGTGTGTGTGTGTGTAAGTGTAGAACAAGGGACCCAGAACTGCCCTTAAAGGGCTCTCACCTATAATCTAGTGAAGGGTATGTCACCTGATCATATATTTACTACAACTGTGGCACCTCCAGAAGGAAGGGCACAGGATGCTATTAGAGTGGATGATGGGGGTGTGTGGGTGTGTGGGTATGAGGGCCCTTCCATGGTCTGGAGGTCTGGGAAAACATCCCTGAGGAAATGACCTTTCAACTGGGTCCTGCAAGATGAGTCAGGTTAGACAGCCGAGTGGTATAGGACAGAGTTCCAGGCAGTGGGAAGGATGTACAAAAGGTCCATGGTGAAGGGGGACATGGGTGCGTGCCTCCACAAACCTGAGCCCAGTGCAACTACAGAACACTCCCTGATGGGTGTAGAGATGCCTGACAAGAGGGCTGAGGCCAGACTAAGGAGGGTTTCGGTGCCAGGTAAGGACAGACAGTCCACTCTAGATGCAGGGGATCCCTACAAGTTAAGAGTGATCCTGGCAGCCAGATCACCTTCCGATACACACACCCATCGTCTACTCTAATACCTACTGTGCCCTTCCTTGTGGACGTACCATAAAGGATGGGTTAGAAGGAAAGCAGATCCTGGAGGCTGCCAAACATAGTCAGGGAGGGCAGTACCAGAGGAGGGACTGATGGGATCCTACAGCTATTGCAGAGCAGGAGCCTTGATTAGGGTCTGGCAGGGCTTCCATAAACATCAGTTCAGATATCATGAGAGGAACAGATTTCCGCAGAAGCAGGGAAGGAAATGGTGACTCAGCTGTCACCAAGATGCTGGACAGACACTTAGGCTTGATAAAGCAATCACTTGCACTGTCCCAAATCCCTACTGCTATTATGGATAAATAGGAGAGAATTTATTTTATCAAGATGCATATTATGTTCTTCCTTACTGAAGAATTAAAATGTATTTTTTTTCCCCAAGGAAAATTAAACACTCCCCAAAAGTAAATGGCATTTAGGCTGAATTACAGCAATTCTTACTGTGAGCACAGTGTTATTATCCTGGGACCTGTCATTACACTGTAAATAACCTCTCCAGGGAGTTTAATTCTCTTGCACAAAAGCTCACTACCTTGGCATCAAAGACCTGACCATTTGGTTATAAAGCACTGTGTGCAATTCACCCTGCACCTACACCCATGCATAAGGCCCTGAGAAGGTCAGCACACACAGCACCCTTGAGGAACTAGTTAAAATGCATATTTTGACTGATCCAGTGAGTTTCTTGGGGGCCCAGGAAGGTAGCTTGTATCAAGTGTTCTGGAAGGTCTCTACACCTAGCTGGAAAACCACTGCTCTAAAGAATTCAGAGCAAACTAGCCAAGGGGGGACGAACAAAGATGAGCTCACTCTAGGAAAAAACAGAGGAAGAGGCACTAAGTTAGTTTCTTCCTACTGCCAAACCATGGTTTTGCGAGTCACAAAACCATTTCCCTCAAATCACCTGAAAAACTATGAATCAGTGTTTCAGTTTTTTACTGTCCGAATAAAATTCTTACGCTAAAACAGGAATAATGAGACAAAATGTTTCAGAAAAGTACAATAGAAAAATATTGTTCACTGGTTTATTTTTCCAAATGAGCAATAGGTTATTTACAAATAAGCAGATCTCCAATGATGTGTATTAAAATGGCAATTCTATCATTGTTTGCAATCTAAATGGAAAAAAAAAATTTATTAAGGCACGTTTGATCTGTGAGTTTAAAACAAACTTAAACTTTCTGGGGGAATAATGGATTCATTTTATTTTTATCCCCCAAAACATGTGAGCACCTGAACTGTGAAAGAACACTTAATATTTAGTCAAACAGTAAGGAATGTAAAAATTGAGGGGTGAGGAAATAGTTTTCAAAGGAAATCTTTGGAGATCAGTTTACCGCAAATCAAACATACTAAACAGTGAGTCACACTCCTGATACACATACATACTAATAACTAACAGGTATTCAAGAAATGGTGGAGCACTACACAATGGATATTAAATAAATTAAAGGTATTTCAGAAAGAAAGAATAAAAGAAAACAGTAATTAAAGAATGAAGTAACCATCTTCACCAACATAACACAGACAGGATGAAGTGAGCAAAACCAGATGTTTTTCCCCAATGTTTTCATTAGGGTGTTTTGTTTTTAAGTTTACGTACATTAGATTTATTACAATAATTCTTCTTTGCCATTCTAAATATTAATATTTTACCCTTTGAAAGAGAAGGGTCAAGAAGAAAGAAAAATGCCAAACCCTTCTTGAAATTTAATACCTGGTCCATTTAGGCTAAACAAATTATAACAAGAACCATCTACCACATTGTGCTTTCTTTGCTCCCCTTGCTTTCAAATGACTAAAATGAGCACAGGTTGGGGAAAATAATCAACTTTGCAAAACCCTCCTGAAGATGATGATACAGTTACTATCTTATTTCCTTATTTTACAATTGGAACACAAAATGGCTTTTTTAAAAAATAAAACTCATTGTAAAAAAGACAAAAGGGTAGAATCTGTGCAATGTTAACAGTCACAACAGAACATTTACCAGAGTTACAGTGTTTTGTTACAATAATACTTTGCAGGAATGTTCACGTTTTCTGCCATAGGACCATACGTAGCAAAGGAGTTTGAGAAGGAAATGTAAAAAAATGTTTGTTCATCAGGTACATTTCAAGTCATAATTAAGCAGGTCTGCTACATAATGTCCAGCAAGAAGATATGTTCAAAGGCAAACACTGATCACATTTTTGTTCAAAAAGCTCAATCTTAAAGGAGTCCTTTGTAAGAAAATCACTTGTAAAATATATCCTTGTGTGGACTTCAAAAACAGGTCATACAAAAAATTTCTGAAAAATAAATTAGATAATTAAAAACGTCTTTTTCCAGCAGAGCTGGGCACTAAGCTGTCCTCACTGAGCCGTTATTATTGCTGCTTTTACTGTAACTTGGATCATTTTTTTCTAGCCACATTTCAGCCAATTGCTGTGTGGACCCATATGTCGAGGCCTTGGACCCCAAGCACATTTTGTATTGCTTGGGATCAAGATTGGGATCACAAAAGACAGGATGGTGGACGTGAACTACTCCTACTTCTTGGCTTCTAAATGTCTTCAAACCTGCCTGAACCACTTTGTTGAAAAGATCCACATCCTCGAGCCCCCAGCCCTGGATGGAAACATCAAAGCCACCCACTCGGACAAGGTCACCCTTATAAATACAAGTAATGCCAAACCCATAGTTTCTCCAGAAGCCAGTTTTCTGAGTAAAGGCAAAATGGTTGTCACTGGGAATTTTCCCACTATAAACAATCTTTGGATCATACTGGCTAAAGATGATTGGAAAGTATATCTGTTGGCCGAGAACTGTGTTTGCTCGACATCGTTGAAGGAATTCTGTAGTAAACACAAGGTCAACATCACAGAAGAAGAGCAAAGAGTCGTTATTAAACTGGGAAGATCCTACTTCAAGGGCTAGGGCTCTTGAAAATTCTCCAGACACAGGAAGAATCTGCATGTCAGCCTTAGGATACTTAATGCGATAATCTCTCATCAGTTCAACTTGTTTAGCCTTGTCAGGGTTGGAGTCAGAATTGAAAAGCAGAACAACAAGCCTGACATTCTGATTTGGAATGAGACATGTCTTTTCAAAGTTTCCCATGAATCTCACAAACATATCAAAGCGTCCAGACAAAGGAATCAATATGTTTATCTTCTTATCTTTGGGCTCTTTGTGCTCGTTTTTCGTCCCAGGGAGCTGAAATGGAACAAGTTTCTTCAGGGAATTTGAGAGAAAGGATAAAGATCCAGATTCTTGGTTAATTTTGTTGGCCAATTCCTTTGCATCCAGCTCCTCATGCTCCACAAACTGGATCTTGCTGAAAGTCTGTTGTAAATAAGCGTGCCTCCTCACCGGGACCGTCATCTTCTTCCCTTTGTGTTTCTTATACAGAAGCAGCAGGTCCAAGATGTACTCAGCTCCATACATGGGATTAACTCGGCGATAGCCATATTGTATCTCCTTGAAGTCAATAATGCGTCCCCTGGTCTTGGCATTGGCGTTGATCATTTCCATCACCTGCATGACAATGTCATCCAAGGCTTCTCTCTGTGCAGAGTCCATTCCTCTTCGAGGGGGCTGACCATCCACAGCTGAATACAAGTATTTTCCAGTAAGAAACTCCCATTCCAAAATCTCCTCCCGCTGGCGGGGCTGAAACCTCATAAAAGAAGGAGGAATTCCCAGCTGGAGATCTTCTTTGTGAATCTCGGTGTTACTATACTTGCTCATCAGGACAATTTCTCGGTGGAGCTGTATTGTGCGATGACGAAGTTCAGCTATTTTGCGACTAAGCATATAGCTATGAAGTCTGTATTGGTAGGGTGGGTTTTTGTTGGGATGTAATGTGATGGCTCGATGAATTTTACTGTTATGGAGATCTCTGATGTAACCCTTTTTGTTTTGTTCATAATTCTCATAAAAAAGTTGCTGCATCTGTTAAGAAAGTAGAAAGATCATTATTTTAGTATTACATTACTGATTGTTCCTCTATTCTTGTATTTCCTTATATACCTATATACTCTAAAAAACTCTAAATATTAGAAATCTTTCTAAGTGAGCTACAGCACACAAAAGCTCTAGACAAAGCCTAACCAACAGCAGTCCAATGAGATTATAAGATTTATAGATATAAACTGCTTAAAGGAATAAGACCTCATCAATAACCAGAGCTGACCAATATAAATCTGCAGGTAAAATGGAATTATGAAATAGTTTTCTCATAGATAAAGATAGTAAACTTGAGATCACAGTGTACCAAGTAAGCATACCTAAAACAGAATTACCCTGCTACACTTTCCCCCACCCACAGTACCATCAAGCGTGTAAGAGGCCTGAGTGTCAGGTTCCCTCACTGGAAGATTACACCCAGTGGGAACTACAGTCTATCAACAATAGCACACCCTTACTACACAAAACATTATTCCACCTCCTACTTTGGGGAGTAGCGACTATGATCTTAAAAGCATGCAAGCAGCCATCTAAATGCAATGATGGGTCTCTCCTTGTCCAGAGCAAAGAAGAATGAAGAAAACCAAAGATGCATAGAAACAATTAGTCCAAGTGACTGGTACACCACATGATCTGCAGCCTATACGACTATGAGGCCAGAAGAACTAGATGGTGCCCAGCTACCACTGTCAACCACTTGGAGGGGGATCTATGTAGGAGATCCTGGATAGAGTGAGAGAACAATGTGGAACAAAACTCAAAATCATTTTGGGAAAAAAAAGGAACCAGGTTTGCTGGTCTGACAGAGCCTGATGGAACCATTGAGACTATGTTCTTCAGGTCTGGCATTGAACCCCTATCTGTGGTTTCCAGCCAAACAAGAGACCAGGCATATGAGGTGAAGATTTACACTAGGAAGATGCACTTCTTGGAGAGAACAATCATGGGAGAATAGAAGGGCTGTGTATGCAAAGGGACACACACAGCCCAGGGGGCAGGAGTGCACGGAGGGAAGGACACAGGGAAAAGGTAACTAACTATGGGGAGGACGTGGGGGGGGGGCTGTTGCATCGTGGTGAATTGTAGTCAATGTCACGAGACAAAGTGTATGGGAACTGCTGTATGGAAAGTGAATTTGCTCTGTAAATCTTCACCCAAATCACAATTAAAAAAAAAAAAAAAAAGAACAGCAGACCCTGCAGGGGCCCTTTCATAGGAATAAACTGCATCCCTCCCTGTTGGAGTCAAAAGGAGAACTGCAGGAGTATGGCCACAGCACTCTTAGGGAGCTTCAGAAAAGGAAAACTAATCACAGGCACAGAGACTTATGGTCTAGAAAGATAGGTTGCAAGGGCTAATTGAAACCAAGGTTCTGCAAGGTAGCTGGGAGCGAGCACACTCTGAAAGCATTTTAGACATCTGCTTGCTTTCCCCTGGATTCCCTATAGCTGAGCAGAACCACTGTGCTGGGTACTGTGTCTCCAGCACCAGAGCAGAGCCTGGTGCAGGCAGACTCAGGACTGGAGAATGTAGGGACTCTGCCACTGTCCTGGGACATGTTTTGGAGCAACATAAACTTGAGGTCTACCAGCCAAAATGGGGTTGGTGTTCCCTTAAGTAAGGAGCTCTGGTGGTGTAGTGGTTAAGGCATTCAGTTGCTAACCAAAAGTTCAGTGGTTCAAACCCACACGTTGCTTCATGGGAGAAACACAAGGCTGTCTGTTTCTATAAAGATTTAACCTTGGAAACCCTGTAGTGCAGTTATATTCTGTCCTATAGGCTCAGTATGAATCAGAGTCAACATGATGGCAGTGAGTTTAGTTTTAGTTTTGGTTCCCCTCAAGTTAGGAAAGGAATACACTAAACTTCTCAGAATATCTGAGGAATGAAATGATTTAAGTTTATGAAGGCTTTTAAATGAATAAAATTTTGTGAACAACATTCAGTAAAAATAACATTTGAGTTTGAGGTAGGTATCTGATAAATCAGGATAGTGGGTAAGCACTTGGCTACTAACCAGAAGACTGGTGGTTCAAAGCCACTAGCTGCTCTGTAGTAGAAAGACATGGCAGTCTGTTTCCATATAGAAATCTCATTTCCTTAGAAATTCTATAGGGAAGTTCTATTCTGTCCTTTTGGGTTGTTATGAGTCAGAATCAACTTGACAGTGTCAGGTTTAGGTTTTTTTTTTTTGATCTGATAAATTAGTCCAGTTTGTTTCATTTACAGGTCACATTTTTGTTAAATACCAACTTTGATAAGAGTGACATGGGTTGACTAGTTTATTTGCCTTTGGACAGTTATACTTTAGCCATGTGCAATGATTATACAAACAGAAATTTTTTAAGTTCCATTTTCCTTTTCTATACAATACTGTATGCTACCAATTAGCCAAAACAGTAAGAGTAAAAAAAAGCAGGAAAATACACCCCAAGAAGGGATTGAAAAAAAAAAAAAGAGGAAGCATGTTAATTCCTGCTAGAGTCTGTGTCATGGGCTGTTAGGCACCCTGGTGAGCTCACTCATTCTCATGGAACTGTGAGTCTAACCTTCTGATAAAGGTCAACCAGTAAGATTTGGGATTTGTTCTTAGATTTGGAATGAGAATGAATTACAGCACTCTTAAAACTGGGCGAAGTGAAAATTATTCTCAATCTAGAATTTTCTTTCCTACCAAACCACTCATCAAGTGGAAAGAGAGAAGAAAGGTATTTTCAGATATTCAAGGACTCAAATTTATCTCACATTCATTCCTACCCAGGAAGCTATGGCATGATGTGCCCCTCCAAAATGAGGGAATACATCTGGGAAGGAAGATGACACTGGATCCTGGAAACAGAGGCTCCAACACAGAAGGAAGGAAAGATGAGCCCCAGAAGACAAGCTCGGCTGAGAGGACGAGTGCACTTAACAAGGTGCTCAACAGAGCTGATGAATTAGGACAGTAAAGTCTTTATGCACAGAAGTCTAAAGAAGCTGTTGAATGGTTTCACTGCAGAACAAAACATTGGTAAGGACTTGCCACCTGATACATGGTAAGTAACACACAGAACAAGCCAAGGTCTCGCTAACCAGGGTAGTATTTTAAACGAAAAAATCAGCAATACATTTTAAAGAAAAACATATACCTCTCCAGACAGATAACGCCACTGTCATTTGCTTTTACTCTACAGAAGCTCAAATAGCATACCCACGAAAATAACATGCACACATGTAACAAATGGAAATAACAAAATTATATTAAAAAGTTCTGGGAGAGCACACCCATGCATACAACACACATCTTTGAGACATTTCCAGAAATTAATTTCAGCCTCATTCAATAGTCTGGAAATACTGCTTTTCATCATATTTGTATAATAAAGGTATAAGCCATCACCAAGAAGTCATGGATTGAGTTTGGCAGTACCCCAGTAATAGGAAAATAAACAATTAAAACTCTTGTGTTTGCTCTGGGGCAGTTAACAGCTAGGCCTGAGAGCAGCGGAGGTCCTTGTAGGTGATCTGTGCACAAGTACTTTGCATGGGAGACAGTAAAGGGTCGGGTGAAGGGCTGCACATGGGGCTGCCACAGCAAGCACAGGCTGGTCCCGTGGTGGACAGGGGTCACTGCCTGAGCACACTCAGATCCCACAGTACCTGCCCTATGTGACGCTGGGTGGCAGGACAGAGAGGGTGTGACCACACACTGCTCTGGCCCTGCGGGGGCCCCCAGCAGCCAGTTGGATCTGTCTCCTTGAAGCAAGGGATACACAACCCTTGTGCTAGCTGTTCTCACGTCTGCCTCATAGTGTCTGCATGGGTTGGAGATTGAAATGGCCCAAACATGGGCGGCTGGCCAGCTAGGTGGCAGGGCAGAATGTGCACAGCTGCAACATGTCGGCCTCACCCACCTGATTGGCCTCTCTGGCCCAGAGTGCACAGAATTGCGTACCTTCTGGGCTGGGGGCTGGCTGCCCTCGCGAGAGGGTTTCTGGGGGGGGAAAAGTGCTTTCTTCCTGCACTGGAGAAAGAGCAGTTTGCAGAGTAGAGAAGGAATCCTGCCGGGAGAGGCGTTGCTTTAGAAACTTGAGGACAGGCTAGCAAGAGTGTGCTGCTGGGAACCAAATCTCCACATCAACACATCAAGATGAAGACTTAATGTTAAATCCATTAGGCAAGGGAAAAAAAAAAAGAAATTGAAGGCAGCAACATGCAGAAAATATTAATACAGCATGCTTATATGACAATAACTTGTGAGGATTTGTGTGGTATATAATATCATGTAGAGCACATTATCTGCATTTAAAAAAGAAACAGTGTATGAGTGCATGTTTTCTTCTTGACTATCAGAACCCCACATACTGAGGGAGGGGGGGACTCCAGTGTGAGTACAGGATTTTCTTTGCATGACTAATTGCTTCTTCCATACATGTGAGGACACCGTGTCCCCAATCATTTTCAAGAATACATTTTTCAATATGTTTAGATGTTGTCTCTGGCCTCTAATTTCACAGTGACTGAAGGCTAGGCAAGCTTTATCAGAAACACAGAGCATGCTCAAGCGATAATACGAAGAGAAAATTAAGAAGTAGCATGCTTGCGGAAGCCTTGAAACCCCTTGAACCATTACAGACTGAGAATTTTTGTTGTTGATACCTTTTGGGTAAATTCCAAAAGTTTGACTGAAAGGAATACTGTGCTATATTCTTTCTTTTTTTTAAATGAAGAGGAAATCTGTTGCAAGGTAAAAGTCTATGTATACATGTGTTCAGGGAAAGGTGCACTGTGAAAAGTAAAAAATAAAGCCAAATATATGCCCAGTCTGGGTTGTTGTTGTTATTATGTGCCACCCAGTCGGGCCTGACTCATAGCGACCGCTCCTTGGGTTTCTGGGGCAGTATCACTGCAGAAGTAGATTGCCCAACCTTCCTTTCAAGGAGTGGCTGGTGGGTTTGAACCGCCAGTCTTCTGGTTAGCAGTCAAGAGCCTTAGGCACTATGCTA